AAAGAAGGGGTACCTTATTTTGGGGTTCTTTATAATAAGGATTCTACTATTTAGGGTACTATATTAGGGTCCCCTGTTTTCGAAAAGTCTCGTTTCGTTGCTCGTTGAAGTCCCTCTCTTGACCGCCAGGTGGACTTCGCCATGGGTCTCTTCGAGAAGGAGGCAGGCACTGCGTTCGTGGTACTATAGGGGCCCTTAGACAGTAGAATATGGTTTTGGGGGGATAGTATAACGGTTCAGGGTTTAGGGTTTAGGGTTTAGGGTGGTACTATAGGGGCCCTTAGACAGTAGAATATGGTTTTTGGTGGGATATTATAGAATAGTAGGTAGATCAGCGGCTATAAGGAGCTTGGTGATGATTCCGACCCCTATAGTACGGTCATCATCATCATCAGCAACAACAAGGTGCTGAATTGACCGATGCTGAAGAGAAGGAGATCATCGCGGAGCTGGAGACCCAGATGGACATCCCCTGCAGCCCCATGGCTGAGAAAAGCCAGCTCTGTGCCACGCCTTGACGGAGGTTCGACAGCTATGATATCGAAGTCGATCGCGACGACGATTGGTGGGGCCAGAGCAGTACTGGCCGGTGGGGACAGAGTGACTGGATGCCACGCAGCTGGTCCTCAGGCTCCTGAAAGGACTGGGGATATGGTCCCCAGAAGCAGTGTAGAAAATAAGTGAATTTGGGATGGGGCATCCGAGCTCTCCCTGGAGACTCAAGCTGATTCGGGCATGCAGGATGCCCGGAGGGCTGAGCTGGCTTCAGCACTGCAGCGTGCCCCGACCTCCGCATTGCACCAGATGAGACCGACTACCGAAGGAGTTCGAGCTGCCGAGGAAGAAAATGATCACCGTCGTCGTCAACACAAACAACAACATGATCACCATCATCACCAGTACCATTGCGAGTATCATTGCTGGTGTTTTCGTTACGTGCAATACTGCTTGTGGCTATTCGGTCCAATGGTATGACGGTGACTATAGCTGAAGTATTATGTGGGTTGCGTGGTGTCGACATGGCTTTGCTGCATTGCTGCTGTCTGTCGCATGTTAAGGCGTTTTACTGTTAACTCCGGAATCAGGGTGTACTGTCTAGCTGGAGAACAGCAAAAGATTCTGGCCCCCTTCGTTGCGGATGGCTTCGGTGATCTTCAGTCGGGGAATGTGCGAAGGGCTCTTAATTATTCTACTGTCGTCTGCGAAGTCTGTGCCGGAAGGGATTTCGCAGATTTCGAGGAGTCGGATAGACATTTAGTATTTGTTCGGGTTCTACTATTTATACAGAGTTTTGCCGGAATTTTAGAGTTTCTTAGGGATACGTCTTACAAGACATTAGTATCTGTTAGGGTTATATTATTCGTTGTGGGTTTTGTGGGCGTTCAATCATTTCTCAGGGTTTGCTGGAATCTGTAGGGGTTCTATGGGCTTCTTGTAGGGTTCAGGGGTCTCTTGGCTGGTCATGGGTCGGTCGCATGGAAGTGTGTGTGTGTGTGTGTGTGTGTGTGCTTGTGTGTCTCTGTCTGTGTGTGTGTGTGTGTATGTGCGTGTGTGCTTGTGTGTCTCTGTCTCTGTGTGTGTGTGTGTATGTGCGTGTGTGCGTGTGTGCGTGTGTGTGTGTGTGTGCGCGCGTGTGTGCGTGGGTGTGGGTGTGGGTGTGGGTGCGGGTGCGGGTGTGGGTGTGGGTGTGGGTGTGGGTGTGGGTGTGGGTGTGGGTGTGGGTGTGTGTGTGTGTGTGGGTGTGGGCGTGTGTGGGCGTGTGTGTGTGTGTGTGCCTGTGTGTCTCTGTCTCTGTGTCTGTGTGTGTGTGTGTGTGCGTGGGTGGGTGTGTGTGTGTGTGTCTCTGCATGTGGCTTTCATCCGCAGGGGGCACCTGCCAGACAGTCTCTTGACGGTTTAGGATTCTGAGTTTAGGGTTTAGGGTTTAGGGTTTAGGGTATAGGGTTTAGGGTATATGGGTTTAGGGTTTAGGGTTTAGGGTTTAGGGCCGAAGCCCCAAAACCACGAAAGAACAGTTTTTTCGCTCGCCCGGCCATGCGCGATTACTTGTCCTCCATGTTGAGGATGCGGTGAGACAGCGCGAAAAGATCCTTCAGGAGTTCCTTCGGCCCTGCAGCAGATCCGGAGGGAACCTGTTGGGGAGCTGGCTCTGGCTCCGGCTTCGGGGCTCCCATCCGCCCTGCCGATCCGGAAGGATCTTCGAGCGGCTCTTGCTTTACGCTAACTTGCGCCGCTGCAGGTTCCGAGGGAAAAACCTCTTTTGCCAGCTGCTCGGCTCGTTCCTCAGAAACCTGGTGTTTGGCAACCAGGTGTTGTCTCATCGCCCATTGGTTGACACAGCTCTTCCTGCATCCGTCATAGCCCCACCATGGACAGTAACGCCCTTCCTGTGGAACTGCAGGAGCCGCCCTCAGAACCACGGAACTCGGCCGTCCTGCAGGCTCGGGCGGTGGCCCTGAGTGGCTCACCCGGCCCTTCCGCTCTGCAGCTGGCGAAGAGCGCCGTCGCCTGTCCCGCCTGTCGCGCCTGTCCCGCCTGCTTCGGTCGGAGTCGCGGCG